AAATACAGATGGTGCATTAGTTTCCCAGGGTAACAAAGTACCACTAACTGGGTGGCTTAAAACCACAGAAATTTGCTGTCACTCCGTTCTGGAAGCCAGAAGTCTGAAATCAACGTGTCAGCAGGGCCATGCTCTCTCTGAAGCCTGTAGAAGAGAATCCATCCTTCCTTCTAGCATCTGCTGGTTTGCCAGCAGTCCTTGGCGTTTCTTGGATTGTAACTGCAGCACTTCAGTCTCTCTCTCTGTTGTCATATGGTATTCTCTCCTTTTGTGGGTCTGTTTCCTTATAAGAATTCTAGTCATACTGGATTAAGGGCCTACCCTACTCCAGCATGACCTCATCCTAATTATCTCTACAAAGACCCTATTTCTAAATTAGGTCACATTCACAGGTATGAGGGATTAGAACTTCACCATATCTTTTTGGGGGACACAATTCAACCCACAGAGATAGGTACTAGGTCATGTGGCTTATTAATAGCAAACTTACAGGATAAAATTTGGCAAAGGACTGAAGAGCTCCTGTGTTTGTTTTAAAAAGATCACTGGATGCATTGTGATAACTTTTAAAAGAATAGGAGAACCTCACTTGGGGAGAAGGTAATTTACATGGTGAATTAATAACAGAGTAGCAGTCATAATCTTTAGATTTTAAAACTCCTATCAAGTAGTTTTTGTAAAGTATTCTGTATAAATATGACATTTTAAAAACTTAGTAGGGGTTACATAGGTCCTAACAGTATCTATAGAATTTGTATAGTTCATGGTCTTTTGGTTTCTCATATAAAGGGATGTTTTCTATATGCCATGTTTTTATAATTATTATTTAAATATTGATATAGGCACAAGATTGACATCTGCCTTATTTTTACTACATGCTTGGGAATAGAGTCTGATCTGGAATATACCTTAATTATAGTACTGATCATTGGATTTCATACGAAGTCTTGGAATAATGAATGTAGACATGGGCTGTCCAAGGTCTGGTCAAGACCAGTTGGGTACTATCCTTGTCCTTCAGGAGGCAATTAAAAATCAGTGAAATAACAGGAAAAAAATTCCATCATAATAGGTATCAACCAGTTACTCACCTACAGAAACCCATGTTCATCTCTCCCAGCACCTCTCCCATCCATACCGCATACTCCACCCTGCCACACACACATTTATTTTACTGTGAAAAGACGCAAACCATTTGTTCATGTATAGAATTGGGAAGTATTAGCAGTTTGAGAACTATCCCCAGAAGCAAATTCCTAAGTAGGGGGAAAAATCTCCCAAAACAGGAAGTGAGACAGGGATAGTACTGAGCCATAAAACCATGTTTATCGAGAGAGTGTGAGTTCAAAACAGAAGCCCTCATTTGGAAGGACAGCAGTATGAATAAGAAGCACCTGAGATCCAACGTCTGTGTTTTGATTTGGAAGTGGGGGAGGGGTTGAAGGAAGGAGAGGGGGAACTAAGATAGGAGGGGTTAGGACAGCATGAAGGCCTAAAAGAGTAGTTAGAGGGGCTGGCCCGGTGGCATAGTGGTTAAGTTTGTGCACTCTGCTTTGGTGGCCTGGGGTTTGCTGGGAAGCTGGGCACAGGTGTTAGTTCAGGGCCAGTCTTCCTCAGCAAGAACAGGAGGATTGGTGGCAGATGTTAGCTAAGGGCTAATCTTCCTCACCGAAAAACCAGTAGTTAGAAAGTTGAGGGGCTGGCCCTGTAGCCGAGTGGTTAAGTTCGTGCGCTCCGCTGCAGGCGGCCCAGTGTTTCGTTGGTTCGAATCCTGGGCGCGGACATGGCACTGCTCATCAAACCACACTGAGGCAGCGTCCCACGTGCCACAACTAGAAGGACCCACAACAAAGAATATACAACTATGTACCGGGGGGCTTTGGGGAGAAAAAGGAAAAAAATAAAATCTTTTAAAAAAAAAAAATTAAAAAAAAAAAGAAAGTTGAGGAGGATTGTAGAAAGGACAGTGGATTGAGATGATGTTAACTTGGTGTTGGGAGAAATGAAATAATATATGAAGCACTGAGCATGGTACCTGATTTACAGTAAGCACATTTGCTGTTCTAGGGTATAAATTGTGAATGCCATATTCTTTAAGTATGCAGTTTCCTGAGGTTTGCATAATTTACTTTCTTATTAAATATTACACATTAAAAGCCCTAATCAATGGATTTAAAAAAATCTATACAGTAGTTCAAACTATGCCTATTAGCCTAGCTAGTGCAAAATAATCATGTATAATCAGTGTTTGAACCAGAGTCATTAAGTCATCAGAACTGAATTTCCTAAGTTGTCACCTGTTTTATTTGTACTAATACTTATTCTTCTCTATTTTAGAGTATGCGGTTGAAATTGATTGCAAATAATACAACAGTGGAACGGAGGTTTAGTTCATGGATTGGTGGCTCCATTCTAGCTTCTTTGGTTAGTAGATAAACTACTTTGCAAAGTAAAGATTCTTATTGAATGATTTAACTTAAATGTACCACTGAAAATACTAAATTTAGTAAAAAGACTAAAAATAATTCCAGTGCATCATTTATCTTTGCATGTTATAGCTATCAGGTGAGCAGAGGACCTAATAAGTTTTACACCTTCTCATGTAACAAATACTCCATTGCCTTCTGAGTGGATATTTTTGTCAGCCTAATTTCAATTTCCTCTCTCAAACAGAGGTGGAAATTTGTTATTTATTCATGCCTCTTCTAATGATACTCTCATAGGCACTGGTTAGGACTTATCTGCAGCACCTTTAAAATTACATCATTCCTTCTCCGGTTCTGGTGCTCCCTGGCCTGTTGGTGAGGCAGAGGAAATCAGGGATTGGTTCTTGGGGCAAATGGTGAAGTCATGGTACTGGGTTTTGCATGTTGCTTAGACTGGTGCCTGCCTTGAATCAGGAGAAAAAGTCCTTATACTTATCTTCACCCTAGACTCAGAGAATTTCCCCTTCACCTCAGAGCAGCTAAAGTAAATGTCAAAGTACTTAGCTAAACATTTTTAAGCTAATAAATGTTTGTAACTGTCCATTTATATATTTCTTGTCTATGTTCTATTTCCAGTCTTTTAATAGATCTTAGATCAAAACTGGATACCCCGTGTGAGTCCACTTGAGTAGAGTTATTCGTAGGGAAGGGATTCTCCTGCCTCCATGTCTTATTACTGTAGCCCACGCTCCTTCTCCCCTTGGTCACTTCCTCCTTTCACCTTCTGTGTTTATTTGGTATAGTGCTTGTGTACTGTCATGTGTGTACTTGTAAAACTTTACCCTAGTTCTAATAATAAGCACTTTTGAGTTCTAAATGTTACCATTTATAAGGTGGTAGAACATCTCTTAACCTGTAGACCAGGATCAAACCTTCCAACAATTTCTATTGTTGCCTTAAGGCTGGCACCAAGCCATCCTAGCTAAACCCTCTGTCTTCCTTTCACAGCCGGTTTCCAAATCCTCATGACAGTGTAACGGGTATAGAAAGATATAATATTCTTTCTAAGCTTAGGCAAGACTAAATACAGATGGTCCCCAACTTAAGATGATTAGACATAATGATTTTTCCACTTTACGATGGTGAGAGAGCAATATGCATTCAGTAGAAACTGTAATTTGAATTTTGATCTTTTCCTGGGCTTGCAGTATGCTGTGATACTCTCTTGTGATGCTGGGCCGAGGCTGTGGCAGCTCCTAGCCACCCAATCACAACGGTGTTTCAATTGATAAACTTCCAGCCATTCTCTTTCTCACTTTCAGTACAGTATTCAATAAATTGCATGAGACATTCAACACTTTATTATAAAATAGGCTTGGTGTTAAATGATTTTGCCCAACTGTAGGCTAATGTAAGTGTCCCGAGCACGTTTAAGGTAGGCTGGGCTAAGCTTTGATGTTCAGTAGGTTAGGTGTATTAAATGCAGTTTTGACTTACCGTATTTTCAACTTAGACGAGTTTATTGGGGCGTAACCACATCGTAAGTCCAGGAAGATCAGTTGTGTCTTTGAGTGTTTTGGAGAAGGGCAGAAATAAGAAGGGAGTAATGGGAGTACTATTGAGGGAGGGCTTTAAGAGTTCTTCAAAGATTAGGAGTTGTAAAAATAAAGACATTAAAAAAAAATTATTTTCTAATAAAAAAGCACAATTAGATAATTTTTCTTTCCATTTTGCAGGGCACCTTTCAACAGATGTGGATTTCCAAACAAGAATACGAAGAAGGAGGGAAGCAGTGTGTAGAAAGGAAATGTCCTTGAAAAGAATTCCCAAACCTCTACGTTCCTGTGTCACCTTACGTTTCATAGCTTTAGTAAACTCAGGAAAAGAATGACCATCTTTTGTAGAATGTTTATACATTTTTGCATATTTCAATTTCCACTTAAATTTTTTAAGGCTTTAACTGGCTCTATAAATTAAAATAAGTTTGTGCTTTCCTTGAAATGCACTTATTACAAGCATTTTATAATTTTGTATAAATGTCTATTTTCTCTAAATATTTTGCTTTCAGTAAAATGCTTTCCAACTCTCTTTAGTATATTAATTACCAATGGATTGGTAGAATTGCTTTTTATTGACTAGTAAAACTTATTGCCTATGCTTTTTACCTTAGGCTTACAAAATTAAATAAAAATTACTAGCCATTCCAAAAATACTTCTTTGGATTGTTGTGTGTTGTGACTTGCTACTTTAAATACTAAATGTATTTATCATTATTTTGAGTGAAAATACTTACTGTTTATTAATGGTAGTATCCAAACCCCCTTGATATCCTATTAACAATAGTAGTCAAAATGTTACCTGAATTTCAAAAGCTATCTTATGGTCTTTGCTACAACAGTTGACATCTCTTTCCCATTCTAAGATACAGGTAATATTAAAGTCTAATTAGATGTCACAATTTATAAAATGGGAATTTAATCTGAACTTTATAAAAAAAACTGGCTGAAGCATGAGCACTTCTAGAATTCGCATGCCATATTTAACATTTGAAACAGTTGATAATCATTTGACTAAAAACACAATTTCTTTATAAACCACTTAATATGTATTTACTTTTGTATATAGACTGTTATCCAAGAAAAACAAAATGGTGAGAGTTCAGATATCTCAGACAAGACTTGACTTCTGGGCTTTAGAAAGATGTGGAAACTTTTCTTGAAGAAATTTTTGTTTCTTTTTCTCTAAACTTTTCTTCCTTGCTTCAGTGCGGGCTTGTTTCTCAAGTCTCAGTCTAGAATAATAAAAGCACAACAGCAATTTTACAAAACTATTCTGTTACTCAATACTATCAAAATATGTCCAAATCAATTCCATGAAGGCCCCAATCATGCCAGTCTTCATATTAGGTGTGTCATGTATATTATCAACCTTGAGTAATCACTAAACCTACACAAGTCAAAGATAAACGTGAAATCAGAGCATCTGTGCCCTACACCACTTCTTCCTAACTCCTGACTGGAAAGAATCAACAGAGCTTGTGAGCCTGTAACAGACTGGCTTTTCTGCCTTATTCAATATGAATACATTAGATATTTTACATCCTGAGATATAGCCTAAGACTTTTGGGAGTTCTCTAATTTGAATTTCAGATAGCACTCAGTCTAGCACATCATTTCCCTACAACAGAGAGAATAAAGCCGTGCTAAGAGATGAACTTAGGTGCTAGTCAGACTCGCCACTCTGAGGGAGTCTGCTGCTGCCCGTCAGCACCCAGGACAGGCTTTTAATACCGCAGCTAAATTATGCGGACCTCAGGGTCACTCAGGAATCATCAGAGCTGCAAATGATAAACTCATGGATGCCAAGCTTCTACTGTACTTAAGCTGATATTTTACTGATCAATAGGAATAAGTTTATGTAAAATACAATACAATTAAGAGACTTGTACTGAGTAACTAATACACTAGTGCTAGGGAGAGGTCACAGGAATTTCAGATAAGAGTTACATTTGGGTGAAGACAAAAATATGTATATATACAAAAAATATGATATAAGCTACTTTGTAAATTAAGTATGAAAACTAAACAAATGTGAAATCATTACCCACTCTATTCATCAACATTTCCAACTAAATTTTGGCCGTTTATAAAAACCCTTACAAAGGTTTGCTATTCTAAGGAATATTCAGAAGATTATGTTGCATGCTCTGAAGGTAAGGCTTAAAAAGGAAGTTTAAAAAAATTGAATAATTGGAATATGTATAAGGCCTATAAAAGTGACACTGGATTCATAAATTCTCATGCGTTATTTTAAAAGTCATGTTATTTATAGCTTCACCTTAGATGACTAAGGGACAAAAGGATCAAATAGCGCAGTAGGCTTGGAGAAAGAAAAAACAGCCAGTGAGTGCAGTTAGATTTCTTCAATTCCTTAACATCTGAACTGGGCCTTAAAATGAATATGTGGAGAGATTTCAAAGCTGACGAAACAGGAACGGGGAAATGAGCAAGTTAAGTTTAGGAAACAAGGAGAAAGATCTGACTGATGAAGGGTAAGTAGCTAAGACTAAACTGTGGGAACGCTGGCGGGGAAGGAGTCTGGATTTTATTCCGTAGACAAGAAGCTACCGTATATTTTTAACAACGGTGATGTGATAAAAAGATCTGAGGGAAATTAGCCAGGACGCAATATTTGAATGGAGTGGAGTGAGGAAGATGTTCACTAACTCGACTGGATGAAGAGGGCCTGCACTAGGCCAGAGACGGAGCAGAAACGACAGATCCTGGAGACATTCTGCAAGGACTGACTGAACCTGGAGCCCCGGGGATGGAAAAGCTGACTGACATTTGGTGCCCGTGTAGAATGGATATACTACAGATAAAGGGGCGCTGGACCCAGTTCCACTGATGGGGAGCAGTTCCCACACCAGCACCAGCAGGGTGTCTGAGAATTCAACTCTGACACTATCTACCCAGAGACAGCATCAGAGGTAGTCACCTGTGCTTCTGATCCACCCACTAGACTGGAGGTTCCCACAACCCCCTCCTTGGACTTCAGACACCAGTCGAAAGCCCAGGTTGTTACCTGTACTTCTGGCTGACTGGAGAGAAATCCGAGGTTCCCACTACCCACTCCCTGGATTCGACTAATTTGCTAGAGCGGCTCACAGAACTTAGGAAACCCATTTACTCACTAGACTATGGTTTATTATAAAAGGATGTAACTCAGGGACAGCCAGACAGAAGAGCTGCATAGGGCAAGGTATGGGCAAAGGGTGCGAAGCTTCCATGCCCTCTCAAGGCCCGCCACTCTCCCAAAATCTCGACGTGGTCACCAACCCGGAAGCTCTGTGAACTTGGTCCTTGGGTTTTTATGGAGGCCTCGTTACATAGGATGATTGATTAAATCATTGGCCACTGGCAAGTGATTCAATCTCCAGCCCCTTTCCCCTCCCCAGAAGTCAGGGGGTGGGACAGAAAGCTTCAACCATTTATTCAAGGATGGTTCCCAGGGAACCAGAACCACCCCTAAGGGCTTTCCAAAAGTCACATCATTAATGTAACAAAAGACTTTTTTTTCTTTTTGCTTTCACCACGTAGGAAATACCAAGGGCTTTAGGGGTTCTATACCAGAAATGGGGACGAAGACTAAACGTATATTTCTTACTATAAATCACAGCATCACAATAGATAAAACTGGAAATCAGGAGAGGTATTTGCTTTGGTGGGCAAGATGAAAAATTTAAACTCTGATTCTAAAGTATACTTAGACATCGTAAAGCTCAGTTTAAAGATGTATTCCATTACTGTTTAAATTGTGTTTTAAAAGTGTTTTCGTTTTTCTGGTTTTGAAACAAGCTTTAGGGGCAGAAAAATAGTCTTTAAAGACCTCTTGCTGATGGTATTATCAAGGCAGTTGTTAAAAGTTGTGGTTCTTGTGCTGCTAGTTTCCAGCTGCTTTCCGGCCTTGAATTCTGATCTCTAGCACCTTCTAGCCAGTAACCCTGCAGTTTCCGCACCCTGTTTCTTTCTGCAGCCACAGCCACAGGAGCTGAGCAGCACCCTTGCCTCAGAAACCACAAACTTGCAATTCTTTTCCCTTCCAATTGCAATTTTGGGGATTAAACTCTCCTGTGGCTTCTATCTGCTTTTGGATGTGGAGTTAGTGTTTTCAAATAGATTTTTTAAAAATCTTATTTCATTTTTATAATTATTTGCTAGTTCCCGGGACCACTTGAAGTCCTATGTTCTCCCTACTGAATAATAAAGTTAATGCAGAAAAAAAATTTCCATAGAAAACATTTGAAAATCACCATTCTGCAGGATGACATGAACTCAGATACAGTGCAAGAGGCTCCTCTCCTAAGCCTAGCCCCTTTTCACGTCATCAACCTTGCAATGACACGAGCTCACATCCGGAGCAACTGAAGTATCTGGACCTTCCTTTCGACATTACAGAAGGATTTAACCATCTACTTACACACAGATTCATAAATATAAAGGCAATAAAATTTTTGAAAGGATATACACTAGAATGTTAACAGTAGCTATTTCTGGATGGTGAGATTATATAAGACTTTAATTTCTTCTTTTTTACCTGATTTTTCTATTTTTTTCCACAATGAACATGTATTACATATGTAAAAGCTTAACACATGTTATTCGATGTAAAGATGTTTCATTCTTAAGGGTACTTATGCTCACCTGGTAAAACGTTCCACATAGGGCATTGCAAAGAATCGTTTCCTATTGTATCTTTTATTTAGGTACCAAGGTATAGGCCACTGCTTGAACTTGTGCCTGCCAAGAAAGCAAAAAGGTATCGCCTTATAGAAAACATTAAAACATTCTCACTTTTTAAGTGTGTTAGCCTTCTTTGGACTAAATATGTTTTCAACAAAATGAGATGTAATTGGCTTTTTAAAGATTTTAAAATTTTTATCGTTTTAAATTATAAAATACTCTAAACTTAGAGAAATGTATAGGTAATATAAGACACTCATGAACCCACTACAAAATTGCAGACAATATTTTGCAATATTTGCTTCAGATGACTCTTTTAAAAAATACATATATAAGTTTAAGACACAGATTAAGTTCTCTACTTCCACAATAGCTCCTAACCACAAAAGTTTATCATTACCAGATATATTTTGTACTTTTACTAGATACATATATGCGTGTGTACTAATTTTATATATGTACACATATACATATATAATTTGATATATACGTAACTTGATATTTATATGTATGATTTGTTTTTAAAATGTAAATAAATTGCACCAACTGATACAGATGTCTATATCTCAACATAACAAAACCTAAAAAATCATAATGTTGAGTAGGAAAAAGGAAAATTGTGAATTCATACTATAATATTTATTTGAAAATATCTCAAAAAAGCAACAGGAGGATTAATTACAGGCCATTTAACCAATCTTTTCTAAAAATTCAGATTTAATTTGTAATATTAGAAGCTCAACTTTCAATCTATTTGTAATTTTGGCTTTTACTATACAATTAGACAGACAGGGCCACGAGAGGCATGGACTGCTGCTTTAGGCAGAACAGATAACAGTACTGTATTTCCCTCGGTTCATCAGGGTGGTGAGCTACTACCTATCCTCAACAGTCAACATCCAAAAAGTAATCCCTGACATTACTGCCACATGTTTTTTTTGACAGAAAAAAAAAAAATGCAGATGTAACATTTTTAAGAAGGAGCTCTGCATTTAAAAGGCTATCTTAGGGGCCAGCCCAGCAGCCTAGTGGTTAAGTTTGGTGCGCTCCACTTCAGCAGCCTGGGTTCAGTTCCCAAGTGTGGACCTACACCACTCAGCAGCAGCCATGATGTGGCAGCGACCCACATACAAAATAGAGGAAGACTGGCACAGACGTTAGCTCAGGGTGAATCTTCCTCAGCAAAAAAGAAACAACAAAACCTTGAAGAGAACAGCATTCTTACAGATTCTAAAACTGACATAGATTCTCTCCTCTATCCCAACCCTGTCCTAACTGACCTCAACTGGATTAATCCAAATAAAAATTAGTAGCAAATAAAATAGATCAAAGTTTTTAGTCATATGTTTTGGCAATTTCTCTCTCTTCTCCAGTGGATTACACAGTTACAGGCAGCACAACTACTCCTCTAAATCTGGCTCCAAGCAGCCCACTATCATAAACTCCATTAAAAGAACTTTATCAAATGAGTAAGTGCTATCATGTGATGTAATTCCAGGGGTACAGGAAAGGTCTCCAACCATCCAAAATGCATTCCCCATTTTGTCAACCGATGCTGAAAGTTCTACTAACAATGCTTCCTTTTGGCAGCTCAACCCAAACGTAAATGAACCACTGGAAGAGAGACTGCACTGGGTCTTCTCCATTATTTGTACCCCAGTGTGAATGTTTATTACCAGAGCCTTTCCCAAGGTCTGACAGGACTTTTGGAACTGGACCTAGGGGACAAGATGTCACAAAGGGTGGAAAGATACAACAAAAATAAACTGTTTCAAAATTTGGACTAGGGCTTATCCTGGTGGCAATGGGAGTAGACTGACACTAGTTCATGTGGCCTTATTCCTCAAGAACCTCTTTTTTTAATAGTCCCAGGTTCTTAATGGGCAAAGAGGACAGGTATGCGTCCTAAAATTACCTTCATGGGATTTATAACCCTCTGAAATTACATGTGTACATGTACATTTTTCTGGGGAAAGGATCTATAACTTTCATCAGATTCTCAAAAGGTCATATGATTCACGTAAGATCAAGAATCACTGTTATAAGAACTATAGATAACAGAATCATGGGCATGGGATGCCTGGCCTACCAGATAAAGCTACCTTCATTCGTATCCTGGAGTTCCAAAGGAATTTGGGGACCTTTATTTCTATTAGATACATCTATAATATACCTAAAATATCATATGGTAAGAGTTTTCTTAAAAGATATTGGATAGGAGAATAAGGCATGGGATGTCCACTCTCATCTTAGAAAAGCCACAATGCAATCTATGTACCAGATGATTCTTCCAAAGATGTCTCTTCTCCAAGCACCAGGTCTAGCGTTTTCTTGACCAGTCTGAAGAAGTCTTAGGGCATCTTCTCTTTCCTGGACAACTTTATCTAATGCATCCATGGACTCTACCACCTGAGAAGAGAACAGAAGGTATCATTTCAACAATCACCTACAAGAGAATCCAAAGAGAGGGAACATATAAAGACTATGCTACAGACAACCCATCATGAATATTTTAGTCAAAGAACCATTCTGTCAAATGTTTTCTAAAAAGCTTTTTGGCACAGGTATGCACACAGGGGTGTCTGTAATACCACTTTTTGTAATTTTTAAAAAGCTTAGTTTCATTTATATGAAAATCTATTTGGCACAAATTTCCACATACTAGTTTTGATTGGATACACTTACATAGACTCCTTTTGGTGACCCAATTTGACTTACATCATTTCAAAACTCAATGAGCTATTAGAATTGATAACAGTTTGCTACTTTTAAATACTAAAACCTACATTTTGGCTTGAACTAATCAGTGTGTCCCTAACATGCAGACACCGACGTTTTGACCTGCTTGGCAGCTGTTGCTGTTTCAGGGAATGGAATATCAGTCTATCCTGGTACTAGAGTAATCTCCAAAGATCCATCACGATGCAAGAAGATACTATTAGAACTTCTAATTATTATTGCTCTCTCAATATTTATATTGTTTTATAATGTAGATAATAATATATTGATAAAGCAACATATTTATATTTTTATAAATAAATATTGATATGTTGGGGATTGTAATGATAGATGAGCTACATTTTTTTCATAGTTCTAAATACTGAGAGCAATTTTTAGGTTGTTATGTGTGTGTATTATCTTTGAGCATCATAACAGATATGAAATACTGCATATACACATTTGTTTCTTATAACAATCCTCAAAAAAACAGAAAGGCAGGCAGATTCGATTATAAAGATAATCTCCCAGGTAGCTGTGAGACCCAAATGAGATGTGAAAGCCACAAGTTTAGATAAACTACCTCATATCGGCATATTCAGCTCACACTTGGCACTCTGCTATCCCCAACTTCACTCAATGCCACACTGAGTAGCTGAATCCACAAGTACTTCCTCTCAACTATATGAATTTCTACAAAATCCTTGAGAAATAAACAATGAGTAAGAAAACAAATCCCATTTTGAAGACAGACAAACTGAGGAGTTTGAAGGGACAACACTGGTAAGGGCCAAATGCTAAGCTCTCTAACCCTCAGGAACTTAGCAAGCCTGGCTGTTGACCGACTACATTCGAGAGTTTGCCCAAGCAAGGTCAGGGCTGAGGCTCCTACCTGAAATCTAGGGTTAGCTCACAAAGACAGCAAGTAAATGGCTACCAAGTCCACAGAGTCAACATCCACTTACGTTCATGCCAGTGGATGAGAAGGAAAATCACAAATGTCAATTAGACACACCTTATTCAAAACAGGCCAACCTCAAAGAGCTTTCTTTTCCAGTTTGTAACTTTCCCAGAGCCAAGAGTGTCCTTACACAGTTCTAAATCTTTAGTTTATACCTTAAATTGAGAATAATTCTCTCTTGATTTTTTCTTGATAAATTTTTCTTAGCAGTATGTCACAAAACACTGAGCAAACTGTACAAATTTGAGGTTTTTAAAAAACATTATGGCCACTTTCAGTTTATGTGGAGAAAACTTTTATTATTTGGGATTCTACTAATTCAGAAAGTGCAGTACATACAACCTTTTGGGCTGAAATTCACCTCTGAAATATATTTTTTAAAGCAGGGAGAGGCGATAATCTATTATTGAAATTTAAAAGTCTTATAACAGCACCATTCTAGCAAAAGCTTTTTCATCAAATAAACACTGTGCTATTTATAAACAGCCAGTGCACTTAAAAGAGTCTCTAAAACATAACTTTCCTTAATAGCAGAGGTAGCAAATATACCTGAAAATAAAATCATATTACTTGACAAATGTTACATAGCTGTGAAGACACCTAGCACCCAGATCTTAGTTTCTAAACATGCCATTCCCCATTTCCATTAAAAGGGATCAAGGTTCCTTTGTAAAATGGCTGATTCCAGGGCTGGGGCAGGAAAAGTACAAGATGAATCCAGAAAATCTTGCTGTGCCTCATCAAAGAACCATAAGGACACAGGGGCCAGCTTGAAGGAACCTACACTGACCAAATCTGGGATCATGATATTAAAGGATTATAATGCATTGAATAAAATTGGAATCCATGAGTCCACACTGATAGGAAGCAAGGAAGGATGAAATAGGGAGAAGGGAAAGCCTTTCCTTCCAGAAGAAAGCTAACTAAACACAGAATGAATGATAAGATTAGAAAATCACTACTTAGCAAACATAGTAATAACTGATTCAGGCAAGAATAATCAATGGATGCTAAAACTAGTGAGTGAAAGGTTGAGGAGCTACAGGATATTTACATGACATCAATACAAAGAAAAATGAGTAACTATACAGTGAAGAAACCTAATGGACACCACACTAACCAAATTATTAATGCTAACAACATCTGTAACAGAACAAATCAACATCCTGTATCTCCTGATACAACACACTGTGAAGAATACAGCATCACTTCTAGGATATTCCTGCCAATCATCAGCATTACCATGAGAAATATCATACAAACCCAAATTGGACTATACTCTTCAAAAATGTCAATGTCATGAAGTACAAAAAAAGACTGAGTATCCAGATTAAAGGAGACTAAAGAGACCTAAGAACTGAAAATGTATGATCCAGGGTTTTCCTTTGCTATAAAGGACATTGTTGGGGTAACTGATGAAATCTGAATAAGATCTGTAGATTAGACAATAGTGTTGCATCAACGCTAATTTCTTGATTTTGAAAACTATACAGTGGATATGTAAGGAAATAGCCTTATTTTTTTGGCAAAAAGTATTTATGGATAAAGAGACATCGTGTATATATAATTTGCTCTCAAACAGCTGAGGAAAAAATATGTTTATGTAGAGGAGGCGGAGAAGGATAAAGCAAATGTGGTAAAATGTTCACATGGGGCGTCTAGGCAAAGAGCATCTCTGTGTACTATTCTCATAGCCTTTCTGTTGTTCTCATGTTATGTCAAAATAAAGTTTAGAAAACCAATAATGTTACGTAACTCAATTTTCACTAAGCCAGAATAACCTCCATAATCAGGGTAAATAACTGAGACTTTATTCCACTCTTTGACTCTCCAGGGATATTAGGTCCTTCCGTCTGGAGGCGGTGTGGCAGTACCAGTTGTGAGTAGTGTGGGGAAAGAAAACTGAGGCAGCTGAGGTCAGGCAGCAAGACTAAAGCTGCTACAAAAAGCTGAATTCTGTTCTCACTGACTACTTACTACGGCACAGAAAAATCAATAAAGAGGTGACCTCAAAAGGAATCTAGGAAAAGAACTCATAAATCTAACTAAATAAAACATAAAAATTCTATTGAAGAAATACCTTAAACATAAACATGTACAGCCATGACAAAAAAGGGCAGATCTCCATATACTGATATGGAAAAATACCCAGGATATAGCAGGTAAGTGGAAAACGCAAGTTTCAGAAGAGTACAGATGTACTCTTCGTGTAAATAAAAAGAATTAGGCACACTTCTACACGCAGAGAAAAACCGTGATGAATAAAAACAAACATGTAGGATTAATTACCTCTAGGAGTGGAAATAAGGAACCCAAGGGATTTTTCTTTAACGATGAAGGAAACCTAATTTAAAAAATGGTTGACCTTTTCACAATAATGTGAATATACTTCACATTATTGAACTATACACTTAAAATGGTTAAGATGGCAAATTTGCTATGTGTTTTTTACCACAATAAAAAATAATGCATAAAAACAATTTGACCTAGTTGGTGAGGAAGTGGCTAAACTGGAACCAGAAATGTAAACTAGTGCAGCTACTTTAGAAGACAGTTGTGTTGTTTCCTAAAACGTTAAACATAGATTTACTAGAGGAGCCAGTAATTTCACTCCTAGGTATCTCTACCAGAGAGAAATAAAACGTACGTCCACACATATGTTGAGGGCTGCAGGTAGGAATGGGGAGTGACTGCAGATGGGCATGAGGCTGCTTGTTGGGGTGATGACAATGTTTTAAAATTAGACAGTAGTGACAGTTGCTCAACCCTGTAAATTTACTAAAAATCAAGCAGAGAGAATAAAAAACCTACATGACAAGAAACATAGGAACCATACACTCGCATCTTTTAGCTTTTGTCCCACACGATGGTGTCCCATCTCCCACACATCTTACCTTTTCTAACCGCTCTGGACTCGGCATGGGCAGTCGCTGCCGCTTGGCCTCCTGCTCTAGAGTTAGAAGCATGTTTCTTTCTTTCAGTAGGACATACCTACATCAAAGAACATGAAGCTTGTGATGCTATTCTGTGGTTATATTAATAAAGTCGTGATTTTTGACATCAAAATCAATGATCTGTACTCAAAAGTCCTTTAAAAATCTTGATATATTGAATATCACTACAAAGGATAATACTTTAAACAGAGCTCTATCTGTTCTTATTCATTTCTTCAGTAAATGTTCCATGTGCCACATATTGTGAGAAGTGCCAGGAGACTTACAAAAAACAATAAAATACAGTGCCTACATTCCAAGCAGAGAGAGAAGATGGAAGATAAATAACATTTATTCAGTGCCTATGACATGCCAGGCAATGTGCTAAGCATTTTACATACATTATTTTAATTCTCTCAACCACCCTTTGAGGTTGGTACTATTTCCACTTTCTAAATGATGACACAAAAGCTGAGAGAAGTATTCTGGAGCACATAGCTAACACAAGATTCAAATTGTGGATACCCTGTGTGCAACACCCATCCTCTTCTTACTCCACTATGCTGCCTCCGAAACTGTAATGTGGTCTGGTGTACTGAGTGGTACAGACAAGAAGTACCAGAAGAATTAAGTGGGAGAGATGAGACATCTCTCCTAGCCAAGATGATCACAGAAAGCTTCACAGAGTTCCCATATTAGGCTGGAAAGGAAACTGAAGCAAACATAACTAAAGGTACTGAAGTAGAAAAGCTGAAGGAGGGGCAGGTTTTGTGAATAAATTTGTTTGAGAATCAGAGCTGAAAGAAAGGAAAGGAAAGAAATGTGGAGGGCACTGCAAATGAGACAAAGGGATTGGGGTACTTTCTGCTATGGAAGAAGACAATTTTGGGGGAAGGGAGTGGCAGAAGACAATCTGTTTGGTTTTAGCCACGATGAATACTGCAACAGCCCTAACTATCCCTTTACCAACAACCCACTGCATCGGTGCTTTAATACAACTTATTTATCTATAATGAATCTGTGCTGTTTTACACATAATACTTGACACCAAATACATATTGTCTTTTCCAACTCTCTGACACTAACTACTTGGAGTTAGTGCCAGAGTCCACAGATTTAAGGGTTTGGTCCCACAAGACTGCCCCCCACTTCAGACAGCAATAGCAAGCTCCAGGCCTCCCACACATCTGACTGACCAGCTATAAATTGAAGGTTCCTATGACCCCCTCCTCAGGTTTGACAATTTGATAGAAAGGCTCGCAGAACTTGGGAAAGTGCTTTACTTACTATTACTGGTTTATTACAAAGGATACAACTCAGGAATAGCCAAACAGAAGATGCAAAGGGCAAGGCACGTGGGAAGGGGCGCACCACCCTCCCAGCAGCTCCATGGGTTCACCAACTTGGAAGCTCTCCAAATCCAGTTGTTGAAGGTCTTTTATGGAGGTTTCATTACTAGACATGATTGATTAAATCATTGGCCATTGGTGATTGAACTCAATCTCCAGCCCCTCTCCCCTCCCTAGAGGTGGGGGTGATGGTGAGGCTGAAAGCTCCACCCTCTAATCGAATTGGTTTTTCTGGACCAGCCTCTAGTCTGAAGCTATCTAGGGGCCACCAAGAATTGCCTAATTAGGACAAAAGATACTCCTATCACTCAGGAAATTCCAAGGGATTTAGGAGCTGTGTGCCAAGGAACTGGGGACAAAGACCAAATACATATTTCTTATTGAATCACATGAATAAGCCTATATTAGTGATTTTTATAAGCAGTTTATAATTCTTTAATCTACCACGAAAGATAAATAATCCTCTAAATCAGGGGATAAAACTTTAAATGCCTACAGTGACTAGACAGATAATTAAGAGTGATGTGGGCTTGGAGAAAGAACAGGATGGGTAAGAAGTGGTGTGCACTGCTCTGTCTAGATGTGGCAGCTGCTACCAACCAGCCAGTTATTACTACATAGGAATGCAGATCCAGTGTTACCAGATCACAGGTCTGATTATTCAAGAGGAGCCAGAAATCCTTATGTTTTTGTGTGAGATTTCCCAATTGTAAAAACAGTACAGTCCAAACAAAACATATCTTTGGGCTAAATATAGCCAATTAATGCAGATGGTGGGGGAATGGGTGAAAGGAGGTTAAAAGGTACAAATTTCCAGTTATAAAATGAGTACGTCACGGGGATGTAATGTATAGCCTGGTGACTATAGTTAATAATACTGTATTGCACATTTGAAAGTTGCCAGGAGAGTGGATCTTGAAAGTTCTCATCACAAGGAAAAAAAATTGTGTAACCATGAATGGTGACAGATGTTAACTGGAACTACTGTGTTGATCATTTTGCAATATATACAAATATCAAATCATTATGTTGTATGCCTGACACTAATATAATGTTATGTCAATTATACCTCAATAAAATACACACACACACACACACACACACACACACATATATGTAAAAATACAACCCTGTCTTAAATCCTTTCAACCCCTCTAATTCTTCAGGAGAACTTTGCCAGAAAAATCTACCTAAATTGCCAATTAAATGCACCCTCCAACACACTTTCCCAAAGCAAATAAGCTAAAGATTCCAGACTATGCGAAAGGTAATAAAAAGGAGGAAGGCCTACATGGATCAACTCTTCGCCATTTCATTTTATTAGTTTGCTCAGAATTGTTAGTATAAAGGTGTTGGTATGACTGGTAGCAGCTACAGCAAAATTTCTGAACTCCTAACTACTCGAGAACTCTGATACATTTGCCTTAATGTAATTTAACTTGTCATATTATAAAATCTTTAATGAGCTTATGTATCATCCACACTACTGTAAGACAAATCACTTTACTCAATTTCTTCTATCAGATAGATGTAAAGTCTATACCTCATGGTTATTATACTGTAACTGCTTCAAACACCCAGATGTCAATGAACTCAATATACTTACCAAAGTTTATGTAAATCTTCATTACTCTTGTTCCTTAACTGCTGACAGGTCCATGCAGCTCCTATTAAAATGATAAATTCATAATAGGAAATAATATTCTAGCTATGTGCCCTTTGGCAAATTATCAAATTACCTCTCTAAACCCTTTTATCAAATCATCTCTCTAAACCTGTTGTTTCCTTATCAATAAAATGTGTAATAGCTTATTATATTACAGTATAATATATAATGAGGATTAAATTGGGATTAAATTAGATAACACGTATGAAAATTATAGTAACGTGACTGGCAATAGCATTCAAAAAATGTTAGTATTAGTATAGAATGTATTTTCACAGTCTAATGTCAAAATACTTTATATCATTATAAATTAATTTTCAATTATCTCTAAAAAATGAAATCTAAAACAGACCCAAAACCTCACTCCAGTTAATAATTTCAACCTACTCTTCTTCTAAACCCTTTGCCAACCTGCTAAGGAACAATTAACTCTACTCTCACACTGTCCTTTTAATTTTCTCTAATAGACATTCCCAAGGGAAATTAAAAACAAACAAACATCTAAATAATTCCAAAACTGCATAAATAATCCAAAATGATGGAGGGTTCAATAAATATATTTAACATCCATCAACCTAAATATCTCACCAGATTTTACTTTTTCTTCCCCCCAATTCTTTGGGTCATCAAAAAATTCTTCCAGTCCTTTCCTTGACAACGTGATATGAAGTAATCTACACTGGTGAAAAGATGTGACATTTGGTGTATTCTTAGGCAACAGACTAAGAGAAAACCTGCAACTGAACAGATATAAACAAGTGATTGAAGTTTGACAACATTCGGATTTTATAAGCAATAAATGGAATCATTTCCTCATCTAAAATTTTAAAAAACCTACTCAGGGTTTCTGCACAAGAAACAATAAACTTATAAAATGCTTTAGACATTATTTTTAATATTGCATTGTAGATGTTGCTATCATAATTTCAGAGGTTAATATATTCACATAATTTTGGAGGCAATATATTGACATAATTATATTTTAAGGTAACATTTTTAGGTCCTTCATATACTGCTAATGGATATACGAACAGATAAAAACATTCTGAAGGTTAATTTTGCAACATGTATCAGAGGTCCCAATGCTTCCTCCTTTAACCCAGGAATTCCACATCTAGAAATTTCAACTAAAGAAATTACCATGGATAGGAGGTGATTTTAAAATGTCTATTAAAGCATTAAATATGACATCAAAAAGTTGATAACATAAAGTGCAACTGGAGAATGGTTAAAAAAAAATTACTGTGCATCCATATGATAACCTATTATGCAGTAATTTAAAAATCATGCTTTTAAAGACTATTTAATGACTTGGAGAAATAATTTAAAACACAATAGTGAAGTATAGCATAAACGTTGTATTCCTATCAAAAAACTTTAGAGCCAGCCTGGCTGTCCTAGTGGTTAAAGTTAGGCGTGCTCCACTTCAGCAGACTGGGTTCAGTTCCCGGGCATGGAACATGACCACTTGTCTGTCACTAGCTGTGCTGTGGTGACGGCTCACATAGAAGAACTAGAAAAACTTACAACTATACACAACTACGTATGGGGTTTTGGAGGGGGAGAAAAAAGGAGAAAATTTGGCAATGGATGTTAGAGAAGGGCAAATCTTCCCTGCAAAAGAAAAAAATCTTTTTTTATCTGAATCTAATCATGAGGAAACAGTAAGACAAATTCAAATGGAGTGATATTCTGAAAAGGCTGATCTTATTAAAAATGTCAATGTCATGAAAGAGGAAAAAGGAACTGTTCTGGGTTAAAGAAAATGAAAGTAACCAGACAATTAATGAAATAAATAAATGATTATTGATAGGATCCTGAATAAAAAATTAAGGAAGAAAAGAAGAAATTACCAGGACAATGAGGGACACTTGAATTTGGACTGTATGCTAGTAGCACAATAATAGTAGTGTATCGATATTAAATTCCTCTGTGTGATCACTGTAGTACTGCGGTTATTAAGACAGTATTCTCATTCTTAGGAGACATACGCTGAAGTGTCTTGATGTTTATAATTCTGACATGCCTCAAATAGTTCAGAACAACAAGGCATAGATATAAAGAGATATAGAAAACGTGACAAATTGCTAAGGATTGGTTAATATAGATGAAGAGTATATGGTTATTCTTGGTACTACTCTTACAGCTTTTCTGTTGCTTTGAAATCTTTAAAAATAAAATTTGAGGAACCAAGGGTAGAAAATGAAAATGCATACATGTAAATATGATCCTGATTTTATTTTAGAATTAAATGTATGTGTATATATGGAAAGTTAAAAAGAATGCGAGGAAATCTGTTTATCTCTGAGTTGTAGAACTATAGTTGATTTTTACTTTGATCTTCAAAATACTTTATCCTACTTTCCAAAGTCTCTGCAAGTGAGCAGATATTCATTTTATAATAATAATAAAAGTCTAAAATTAATTTTTTAAGGAAATGATGAGATGGAAGAGACAATTGATCCAAGTTTGCCACCTTGATCAAGTTACACCTCTGGGCTTCCGCAAAATGCAAAAAAATATTGCTTATCTCTGAGGTTACTGTAAGCAATAACATTGGAGCATATGACATGCTCAGTAACTGTGCTGGATTCAAGAGCATATACATTTTTACTTAAAAAAAAGTCTGACATATCCAACTATTTATAAAATTCAACTACTTATAGACAAAACCCAGTAAAAGGGAGGAAACCATATACCCTAAAGTAAAAAATGATCGGTCTGTCCAGAAGACAAGCTGTCTTTCCAGAAATAACACCATGAGTAGCGCGTTCCTTTCTCACACCTGCAGTGCGACTTTCCGTTCACTTGGCTACTTTCATTTATTTTCTCAACATTTACAACATTTTCTCAATCTCTTTGTGATAGATTCTGGAAGTACAAAGGCCCCTTCTTTCTTATCCATCTAAATCTGACACAGCCTTCAGTTTCCCGCCTAAGCTGTTCAGTGAAGTTTTTCCCAACCCACCCAGGCAAACAGGATGCTTCTGTACCTGTAGGGTTAATTCAACAAATACTGTGCATTACAGACGCCATGTACTGCCCGGTCCACAGTAGGTGGCAACAAAATGCTTGTGGAAGGAACGCAAATGTCGGAGGTGGGCGACTTCTCCAAGGTCACCCACTCCTCACAGAGGTGGGTTCCGGCTCAGCCATCCCGGCGGCCTTTCCATCCCTGAGGCGTTCTCAGCATCTCAGCAACCAAACAAGATCCAAAGTTGGAAAGGTGGACAAACCCACTCCTCGCATCACTTACCCTGTGCTAGCAGGGGTCTGAGGACTTATTAACGACCTGGAAGCCTTCAGGAAGCCTGAGACTTTTCTGCAAAGACCAGTCAAACTGGCCGCAGCCATCTTTCCGTATAAGTAAGTAAACCATGCTTCCGACCACAATGACGCCACTTCCGGTATCTCACGCCCACCGGAGGCAGGGACTACGCTTTGCCCTCACTCAACATGGCCACTTTCTGGCTTCGCGCTCGTTGGTGAATGGGCTCTGTCGGCTCCCGTTGCTCTCCCCGGTTCCTCTCCTGCCCGCAGTAGCCATGGCGGCCATGAGTTTGTTGCAGCGAGCTTCGGTCGCTGCGGCCTCTCTGTGTGGCCGCCGCCTTGGCCCTCGACATGCATTCGGGGGCTTCCTCACCCGTGGCTTTCCGAAGACTGTCGGTGGGTGCTGGCTTTGGGAGAAAGTGCACTCAGGGGATGCGGGGTGAAAGATGGAGGACTCTTCCTGGGTGACCTTGATGGGATCCGGAGGGAGCCGGGAGAAATTGCGGGCTTGGGGCTTCAGAGAGACAGAGCATGGACTATGTGAGGAGATTGAGGGTTTTCCTAAAGTAATCAAATCGATCGCGTTTAAATTATTAATTAGCATTTGTGAAACACTTTGCCATTCTTTCATTCCAACTGGTGCTAATTTGCGGATGAAGCTGAGGTTAGCTGGGCATAGAGCTGAGCCCCATGTTTCTCAGGCACCAGATTCTTGTACGTTCCACCTGCACTAGGTTCTAATCCCGCGAAGTGGGAAGTCATGTTGCTGAGCAGCCCACTGATGCTAAGTAATATGCAGACAGGTGGAGAGGCTCAGGGGTAACTCATCCAGTAGGCACAGTGCCTACATGACACTTTTGTTTTGTTTATTGAGTTAATGATAGGTTGCAGTCTTGTGAAATTTCAGTTGTACATTAATGTTTGTCATTCGTGTTGTAGGTGCACCACTTCACCCTTTGTGCCCACCCCCCTCCCCACCTTTCCCCTGGTAGCCACTAATCTGTTCTCTTTGTCCACATTTTTAAATTCCTCATATGAGTGGAGTCATACAGAGATTATCCTTCTCTAACTGGCTTATTCACTTAATTCCCTCAAGGTCCATCCATGTTATTGCAAATGGAATGATTTTGTTCTGTTTTGCAGCTGAGTAGTATTCCATTGTATCTATATACCACATCTTTATCCATTCGTCTGTTGATGGGCACTTAGGTTGCTTCCACGTCTTGGCTATTGTAAATAATGCTGCAATAAACATTGGGGTGCATGGGACTTTTGGAATTGTTGACTTGAAGCTCTTTGGATAGATACCCACTAGTGGAATGGCTGGATCGTATGGTAGTTCTGTTTTTAATTTTTTGAGGACTCTCCATACTGTTTTCCATAGTGGCTGCACGAGTTTGCATTCCCACCAGCAGTGTATGAGGGTTCCTTTTTCTCCACAACCTCTCCAACATTTGTTACTATTAGTTTTAGATATTTTTGTCATTCTAATTGGTGTAAGGTGATATCTTAGTGTAGTTTTGATTTGCATTTCCCTGATGATCAGCGATGATGAGCATCTTTTCATGTGCCTATTGGCCATCCGTATGTCTTCTTTGGAGAAATGTCTGTTCATGTCTCCAGCCCATTTTTTGATCAGGTTGTTTGATTTTTTGTTGTTGAGTTGTGAGAGTTCTTTATATATTAAGGATATTAAGCCTTTGTCAGATATATGACTTGCAAATATTTTTTCCCAGTTAGTGGGTTGTTTTTTTTGTTTCAATCCTGTTTTCATTTGCCTTGAAGAAGCTCTTTAGTCTGATGAAGTCCCATTTGTTTATTCTTTCTATTGTTTCCCTTCTCTGAGAAGACATGGTGTCCGAAAAAGTCCTTTTAATACTGATGTCAGAGAGTGTACTGCCTACGTTTTCTTCTAGAAGCCTTATGGTTTCAGGTCTCACCTTTAGGTCTTTGATCCATTTTGAGTTTATTTTGGAGAATGGTGAAAAAGAATGGTTAATTTTCATTCTTTTACATATGGCTTTCCAGTTTTCCCAGCACCATTTGTTGAAAAGACTTTCTTTTCTCCATTGTATGCTCTCAGTTCCTTTGTCGAAGATAAGCTGTCCATAGATGTGTGGTTTTATTTCTGGACTTTCAATTCTGTTCCATTGATCTGTGCACCTGTTTTTGTACCAGTACCATGCTGTTTTGATTACTGTAGCTTTGTAGTATGTTTTGAAGTCAGGGATTGTGATGCCTCCCGTTTTGTTCTTTTTTCTCAGGATTGCTTTAGCAATTCGGGGTCTTTTGTTGCCCCATATAAATTTTAGGATTCTTTGTTCTAGTTCTGTAAAGAATGTCATTGGGATTCTGATTGGGATGGTGTTGAATCTGTAGATTGCTTTAGGTAGAACGGACATTTTAACTATGTTTATTCTTCCAATCCATGTACATGGAATGTCTTTCCATCTCCTTATGTCGTCATCCAATTCTCTCAGAAAGGCCTTGTAATTTTCATTATATAGGTCCTTCACTTCCTTAGTTAAATTTACCCCGAGGTATTTTATTCTTTTTGTTGCGATTGTGAATGGTATTGTGTTCTTGAGTTCTTTTTCTGTTAGTTTGTTATTAGAATATAGAAATGCTACTGATTTATGCAAATTGATTTTATACCCTGCAACTTTGCTGTAGTTGTTGATTACTTCTAAGAGTTTTCCAATGGATTCTTTGGGGTTTTCTATATATAAGATCACGTCGTCTGCAAACAGCGAGAGTTTCACTTCTTCCCTCCCTATTTGGATTCCTTTTATTCCTTTTTCTTGCCTGATTGCTCTGGCCAGGACCTCCAGTACTATGTTAAATAAGAGTGGTGATAGAGGGCATCCTTGTCTCGTTCCTGTTTTCAGGGGAGGGATGGTGCTCAGTTTTTGCCCATTGAGTATGATGTTGGCTGTGAGTTTGTCATATATGGCCTTTATTATGTTGAGGTAGTTCCCTTCTGTGCCCATTTTCTTCAGAGTTTTTATCATAAATGGCTGTTGGATCTTGTCAAATGCTTTCTTTGCATCTATTGAGATGATCATGTGGTTTTTATTCCTCAGTTTGTTGATGTGGCCTACATGACACTTATAGGGCTCCGCGAAAATGTTTTAATTTGAATTTCTTTTAAAATCAGAAAAAAACCCTATAATGTTAATAAATATGTGATAATGGATCTAGCCTGGATTGTGTTCATCTTATGTCAACCCAGTCATAAAATAATAATTTTAAATATCTTCTTAGAGTGGAAAGGACCCATGAAAGAAAAGTCTTAACATCCTAGGAAAGTCATAATGCAGTCATGGGAGGGCTATTTGGAGCCCCTTGGAGACTGTAGGTTGAATTCTAGGGAAATAAATAATCATAATAGCAAAGCATCAAATGCTTTGTATTCAGTCTATCTTATTCTTTCAAAGACTCTGCAAAGTGCTAACACTGTGATTATTCCCATTTTACAGATGAGGAAACTGTGACTTAAGTGTTACAAAAATAGTGTGCTACTGTACTAATAATAATTATAATAATATATTATTATTATTATAATGGCAGCTTACATTTATTGAGGACTTATGTGCCAGGCAGCAGTCTAGGATTTTAAAGGTAGTAATTGTTTAATCCTCTTGATCAAAGATATACTTTAAGCTCTTGGCCCTATGCAGTACAAGTAGGTAGAGAGGAAGTAAGATTTACTACAAAGCCAGAAAGATCTTCTCCAACCTAAAAATATCTTGTTCTGTTTACTCCTCTTCTCTTCTCCCAATTTAATTTGAATTATGTCACTTCACATGATGAAGCATTATAAATAGGGACTTGTTGGAAAAATGATGGAAAAGGCCAGTGATATTCAACAAATTTCCAGCAGGCATTTGAACCTGTTACAAAGCTACATGTGCTAACATTCCTTCATAAAATCCCTTTGTAGGCCATTTATGATTACAAATATCCTCCTCTTCAAATATTCCCCTGGATAGTATTTAATCATGCCTAGCTGGAGATAAACTGAGGTAAAATTTCACCCCCAGATCCTCTTTATACACTGTTCTCCATTCTTGGAATTCCCGAAGGATCATTACAGATCATCTACGCCCTTTCCACTGGGAGTAGGAAAGAATCTAATAGCTATAATGATGGTTACTGAGTTTCAGCTGTGTACCTGCTTTCAAGGGTAGTTTGCGCGTGAAGCCTTATCTGTCACTGTGGAATGAAAGGTTTTAATCTGTTATTGTTTATGTCTGCCCCTCCAAGAATGTAAGATCCAGCAGAGTGGAGAACCTTGTCTTGTTTGTTTCCCCTGCAGCTCGACTGCCTAGGTTCAAATCCTGGCTCCAGAGTTTAGTAGCTGTGTGACCTCGGGTCATCACGTCTTGGAAGCTAAGTGGAAAGCTCTTAATTACTCAGAACCTGCACTTCTTCATCTTTAAAGAAGAGGGTGTTTATTACAAGTGTGCTTATATTCTGTTGACTTGACAGGGCCATAAAATAAAATTAATCTCTTTCCTATTGATAAGTATTTATAACCCTGAAATGTATTTCTGGATAATTTTGCATCTGTCTGGAAATGTCATTTTGAAATGAACTTGTCTCTTACCATAAGAACTGAAAAAAAAAGGGAGAGAAAGAGGATGATAATTTTAATTTACCTCATAAGGTAGTCGTGAAAAGTGAGTGGAAAAAATCTACAGCCCCTAGCATTAGTCTTCTACGGGGCCCTGTGGCCACACCTTTCTTGAACATCTAGTACTGTCCTGTTATTTTCATTCACCCTCACTGAAACCTTTCTCAGAAAATAAGCTGATAAAAGTATTCTATTTAATTAAATTACTTATTAAATGTCAAGTATCAAGTGATTCCAGAATGAGCTTAAGTTCTCCCCTCAGCTGCCGGGAACTTTAACGTTGAAGACTGATACGTGCATATTATGATTTTAAAAAACTGAGGAGACTATTAAAATGATTATGTAAACAAAGGAGTGTGGAGTTAATTCAGACATGGAAGGTGGGGTATTTTAACTGGATTCTGGGGATAGTTTTAACAGGTGGAATTGGCAGATAAGTAAAGGATGTGTTTTCTGATGCATCTGAAGATGAGGCTCTTGGGATAGGTGGGTGTTGAGAAAGAA